TTTAGTCTTAGCAACTTTACAGATCTTCTTTATGCACCAAGAGCTTGTAACACTCCAAAGAGAAAGGAAAACTTGAAATCGCATCATATGACCCCTTTAATGGATTAACAGCTCTGGTATAAGCTAAATTATTACTTTTTCAAGGTATATGCATTTACATAGAGAGAGCGAGAGACTTTTTCCAAGCAGTTAAAAAAACTCAGCAAGGACACATTAAATTGATCAAAAGTGAGACATTTAAAATGTTACAAAAGATTTCAAATAAATGCAGAATCCTGAAAAAAAAAATGTATCCACAAAAATATTAAGCAGCACTGCTTTCAACAGTTATTTTGAGTTGTAACAATATTACTATATATAATAAATTTTAATGGAATCTCCTATGCTCATAAAGGCTGTATTTATTTGATCAAAAATACAGAAATATTATTGGAATTTCTAATATTGGATTCCTATTTTAATATACCTTAAAATATAATTTATTTCTGTGACACAGCGCTGACTTTCCATCAGCCATTACTCCAGTGTTCAGTGTCACATGATTCTTCAGAAATCATTCTAATATGCTGAGCTATTATCAGAGTTGAAACTGTTGTGCTGCTTAATAATTTTTAGAACCTGTGATACTTTTTTTGATTCTTTGATGAATAAAAAGTTAAAAAGAACAGCATTTATTCAAAACAAAATTATTTTCTAACAATATAAGTCTTTACTACTTGCTGAATAAAAGTATTCATTTCTTTAAACAAAAAGAAAGAAAAAAATGTACTGACCCCAAATTTTTCAATAGTAGTTTATATTGTAACAAAAATAATTCTATTTTGAATAGAAACTGTATCCCAGAGGGGTCATAGGGGTCATAGGATGCCCATTTTCCACAAGTTGATATTATTCTTTAGGGTCTTAATGAAAAGTAGTTTGGTTAGTTTGGTTAAAATTTCTAGGTAGTGTAAAAAACACCCTTTTTACCCAGTCAAAAACAGCTCTTTTCAGAGCATGCAGGTTTGTAGCATTTTCCTTTAAATGTTAATGAGCTCTGCTGACCCTGCCCCTCTCTTCCGTAATGTAATCCACTGCGTCTTCAGCGGCTCAGATGTCGGGAGTAAATGACGACTGGTGTTCATTATTACATCCAACAACAGAACACCTCAATTGCTTAGGAGTCATTCTTGTCTACATCTTCTCCGGCGGTGAAACAATGGCGGACTGATGACAGCTCACTCAGGGCGGGTCTAAGGTAAGACGCCAGTCCAGTCTGTGACTGCGAGTTCAGCGGCTCAGATGTCGGGAGTAAATGACGACTGCTGTTCATTATTACATCCAACAACAGAAGACCTCAATCACTTAGGAGTCATTCTTGTCTACATCTGCTCTGGCGGTGAAACAATGGCGGACTGATGACAGCTCACTCAGGGCGGGTCTAAGGTAAGACGCCAGTCCAGTCTGTGCTGAAACACTACTGTCAATCAAACTATTGTGGGAGGGGCCTGTCTGTGTGATGTCACACAGACAGGCATCTGAGATCTGCTCGATTTGAGAAAGGGGAAAACATTTAACCAGATTAAAAAGAAAAGGTGGTTAGGGTGGTTGTGTACACACACTGCCAACACACATTTCAGTTCAAACAACTTGTAAAAGTGCATGTAGCATCCTATGACCCCTTTAAAAGCAGCAGGGAAAAGTCAGTACATTCAGTCAGTAACTGAAGATTAACTTGGTTAACTGAATCCATACCCCTCCAAGTACAACTCATAATATTAATAAATATATGTAATATTAATCATTTAACTAATAATTTTAATATCAATGTGCATATACAAATGTAGATCATTTACCAGTTGTCTGTTGTGCAATTCAGCACCCTCTTCTCTTTCAGGACCCTTTTGCAGTTGTCGACAGAAAGGCTGTTCAGGGTTTCCTTGACTGTCTGCACAACACATGGACACTGTACAAGTACAAATTTCAAGGAAATGTGCAGTTGTTGTGACGGCATCAGGTGAGGGATATCTGCTCCTTTTGTTATCTAAAATGACTGATGTTCTCTCTCCATCCACAATAAGCAATAGCTATATACTGTGTAATAATAAACAACAAGAGGGTGTAATCTAAAAGCAGAATGAACAGAATGTCATGTGAGTTTAGAGTCTGGAAATATACAGAAAAACTGATTTACAAATAGATGCAAATGACAGCTATATCAGGCTCCACTGAGATAACTATCACCTCCACCCCTTCCACTTTGTTTTTTTCCAAGTGTAGCTCAGTGATTAAAGATATGGATATATATCTGAAAGAAAGGTAGGTTTGAACTCCAAATAATAAGCAATATCACTCTCAGTTGTTTATCTTACTGTGATCTCATCAAATTACACGGACTGATCCACTACAGAAAAAAAGTTATTTATTATTTTCAAGCCATTATAATGTTGTTTGTAAATTAAGCACGACTAATATCAAACCAATAAAGTTTCATATTGAAGAACAAAATGATTTTTAATTTTCTCTGGCATTTAGAGACTCCCATTTCATAATTCAGATGAGAATTTTTTTAATGTATGAAAAAAAAAATCTCTCTCTGCCCTCAAACAGAAATGGTTACAAAAAAACAAACAAATATAAAAAAAAAAAATGAAATTTAAAATGTAAAATAATGATACTGACATCCAGTTAACATGTCTTAAAGTGAGGAAGTCAATATTTAACCCCAAAATGTAAAGAAATTGAGAAATTTTGCTTAACTAAAATAGAGTATATATTTAGGACTATTAAGTATATGTAACATTTTCATCATGACTAAACATTCCTTATCTCAAAATGTCACTATTGTGATGCAAAAAATTAAATTTAATTGCAAAGAATAAATGTAAAGTATACAAATTAATCAACTGTTGTACTGCTTTTAATTAAATTTTGTATTAAATACATAAATCTTTGTATTACATTAGTTTTTAATAAAATACAAAATATTGTATTCCTAGTCCTAAAATGGGCTGTTTTTCGGTGAAATAACAAATGGCATTTAATTTCAGTTCACACAGGCACAAGTGATCATTATAATTGCCAACAGTGTGATCAATCAAACAGAACACAAAACCCAACTCAAACTGGATGAATATTTTTCTGCTGAGTATTGGGATTATGGCAGATTCTTACATCGACAGACATTAGATGGCATGAAACGCTGTGCTCACACACAAAGTGCCTCATTTCAAAGTAAGTGCATGCTACATATTCAGGCCTCTAGCTGTTATACAGAAGTACAATCCTATCTATTCTAGCCCTACATATGGGACATTTCTTAGGTTCGGGCAGGGCCCTATAGCACTCCTCACAGGCACACACGTGACCACACTCTAGAAACACGCATGAGCGCTCACGACTCAGGCATATTGTGCATGTAGTAGGAGACAAATCATCCCCTGCCAGGTGGAGCTCCTGCAAACGTCTGCTCTGCCACTTCCTGTACTCGTCCAGCAGGCTGCGCTCTTTCCTCCGCTCCTTGCGCAGCACGTACTGCCTCCACAGCAGGTAGAATAGTGTGGCGCAGGCAGTCAAGCCATACTCATGTATATACATATAAATGTACAAAATACATATATTTATCTTTTTCATTAGTGTTAGTGTCATGACGCACATTTCATAAATTCTCATTGAATTATTTTGAATTTATTTGTAAATTTTTTTTCCCACTTCATTATTATTAGGGCAATACAACAATATAATTACCCTTTATAAAATAACATTTCTGTAATAAACAGATTTGAATACATAATTCATCTAATCTAATATATTTATAAATATAATTACTATAATATTCTAAATATAGAAATATACTCTTTTAGTACATATAATTATATATTATAATTATTTATTTTATATATATATAATTTTTTAAAAATAGTATATATATATATACACATATACATTTTAAATTATATCACAGCAAAAAATTTAACAGCTTATTAAAAATTAAATATTTTTACACGTTAATATTTAAAAAATATTTAAAGTTTAATCTAATATTTAAATATTAAGCATAATTAATATTTATAAATATTATATATCATCCATTCAACATAAATATTTACATAAAGCGTAATATAAAAAGTACAATTATTAAAACTAAATATTACTTTATATTAAAACAATAATGAATATGAAATAATTAAAATATTTAATACATTTAAGTACCAGTTTAAATAGTGTAAAACAATTTAAAAATGTAAATAAAGTATAATTATGAAAAGCTACATATAATAAATTTGTATCAATACATAAATTACATTATAATTATTAGAAACTACACACACACACACACACACATTTTCTAATAATTACACTTTAAATAAACGTAAAACTTTAACTGCAATATTATTTAAAATGATCTTAAAAACTTTTGATCTACATGACTGAAATTTTTTAGACACATACAAATTGTGCTGATGACGTTGGTCAGAGACTGCTGGGAGGGGTGAAAGTTCTCATAGGTGGTCTCCAGATCCAATTCAGCTGCATCGATTGGACGGACCACTCGTACTGTTGTGAGAACAGTGCCATCATGTGGGGCGAGGTCAAAGGGCACGGTGTTGGTGCGTTGGTGGATGACCTTTTCACAATCATTCCTAAAAGACATATGTATTAGCAGATGAAATTAAATAAGGTACATACAATTACTGATAGTGAAAAATATATTTTCATTATAAATTACTGATGCTGCATAGGGTTATATAAAATGATTAAAACAATAAATATTTAAATAAATTAGAAAGTCTAATAAAAATATTAAAGTGTAAAAAGTATATGAAATTTTTTAGACACATACAAATTGTGCCGATATATACATTTCTTTAGAGAGCTAATATTTAAAAAACAAACGGTAAAGAACTGATATTGTAATGGACAATACACGGTATACACATATACTGTATAAGTTCTATAACTGCATTAACTGACAGTTATGTATTACAAACAAGTACCATAGATGAGTTGTACGATTCCACACCATCTTCTTCTCTTTTAGGGTTAACCTCTCGATGACCCCTTTACAGTTGTCTACAAACTGACTGTTCAAGGTCTCCTTCACCGAGCGCACAACACCTAAAAAAAATCATTATTTGAATCATTATTGTATCAATAGCAGCAAAGTGCAATACTAGATTTATTTTAGAAGTCATACCTTCAATAACTGCATAAGGAACACATTTTCCTGGTGCCTCATCCAGGATAGTTTTGAGATCTGGATTTAATGGCATCTTCTTGGCCTCCTGTTAAACAACATGCTTAAGTATGATCTAAGTCGTGTAGTAATAATGTCATTAAAAGAAATGCACCTTCTGTTACCCTTAATCTCGCTACATGGCTCGACTTCCTCTTGTATATGCTGTACAAGACAGCAGTCAGAGCCGAGCTAGTGGCTAGCAACACAATCTGTGCTGTCGAGGGTTTGCCACTGGTCTCCATCCTTCAATCTACAGTCCAGCTGAGTATGAAAACAAAAATACAATTAATAACATCTCTAGTCTATATAGACATAGGACAACAAGAGAAACTCTTTCTCCAAGTTTGATGTCAACAACATACCCATTCCTAGCTTATGAACATGGCATTTTTCAAAAGGTTAAGTCTTTGTATTTACTTATATTATAATGTTTTATTGTATCAGAAACTTAAACGATCAATATAATGTCTTTCTTTATGGTCATCTTTTCACAGAGTAAGTAACTAACATAAAAACAAAACAGCTGCAAATTAGCTTGAATGGCTAGCAATGTCTAACGAAAACAACCAGCTTAAATATGCACTCTCAAAACACAGATTATTTTATTTTAATATTTTAGAAATTCGGTATTCGCCAGAACAAACGTGCACCTAAGAAAAGGTTATTTGACTTACCTTCACTAAAGCTGTGCTGGTGTACAACTGTCAACTCAAGCCCCTTCATAATAAAAGTCCTTGACTGCGAACGCTCTTCTTCGACGTTTTATGGCGGTTGGCAATCCAGCTTTAGGTGCATATACTGCCACCTGCTGGGATGGAGCGTGGAGCATTGCCGTTAATGGAAGACTAAAAAACAAAACGGTGTCCAGTTTAAATCCTGTTCATTAACTGTGTCTTTGAGATATTTCAATAGTATTATTAAACACTTTTACAGTTGCATCTTTGTTTAACAACTTCTGGAGTGAAAACTGATTAATCCCTATATCTCTAAGTGCTTCTGTGAGCTGTAATCTTTCATGATCACATACTTTGCACTTTATTAAAACATGTTCAACTGTTTCAGGAAAATCACATCTAACACAACGTCCAGATTGACGTTTTCCAAACACATAGGCCACTGATTAAGTGCAGAATGCCCAATTCTAAGATATTATGCTTACAGCGAACACTCTGCTCTGATCATGAAGCAAAAAGTACAAAGATCTGTAAATAATTAAAGCAGGGGTCTTCAAACTCAGTCCTGGAGGGCCTGTGTCCTGCAGAGTTTAGCTCCAACTTGCTTCAATACACCTGCCTGGAAGTTAGTATGCCTAGTAAGGGCTTAATTAACTGTTTCAGGTGTGTTCAATTAGGGTTGGAGAGCTAAACTCTGCAGGACTTTAGAGCTTGGAGACCCCAGAGTGATCATGATAGATTAGACCAAGGGTTTTCAAACCTGTCCTGGAGGACCCCCAGCCCTGCACATTTTGCACGTCTCCCTCATCTAACACACCCGATTCAACTCGTTAGCTTGTTAGTAGAGACTGCAAGAACTAAATTGGGTGTCTTATGAGGGAGACATACAAAATATGCAGGGCTGGGGGTCCTCCACAGGTTTGAAAACCACTGGATTAGACCATGAAATAGCATAAAATAATTTGAAGAAAAAAAAACACACTTGCACGCAGTGCCTTTTTTAAATAGCTAAAGATCTCCACTATATTATGCAGATGAAAAATTAGGAAAAATACAGAACTTGAATGTCCTGCTTTTCCAGCTGTATTTACCTACTGTTTATGCCAGAGATAAAAGTAAATACATATTTTTATAAATCCCATAGAAAATACAAATAGAAAATAGCTTACCAAATCCACCATGAATCATTTTTTAATGTTGTATATATATATATATATATTAATTTTCAGGTTTTAAAATGGAGATTTCTTATAAATTATAATAATAATAATGAAAAAAAACATTTTGTTATGAAGGCAAACAACTGGTCTAAACGGTCTAAATCTGCCTGTTCGATTCAAGAATTGTTCGATTTTCGATTATTTTTAAAAATTTTTTAAACTATCACTGCTTGTTTAAAAGACAGCAGTCGGCTTGATTAGTAAAATAATCATAATAATTTAAAAACATCATTATTTTAAAATTAGTGCCAGTTATGGTGTTTATCGGTCGTGAACTACTCTGTGATTTTGAACGATTCTCTTGAATGAATGATTCAAAGATTCGCTCATTGCACAATTAGTGGTCACCACCTACTGGTATAATGTAGCCTACTGGACAGCTATCGAAGTGAAGGAGTTTTTGGTGCACAGAATCAAACGATTCGAGTCACTGAATCAAACGATTAAAGTTGTTGGCAAGAAACAAAATTTTCGAGTCACTGGGATAGCCTATATCAAAATCCAAGCTATGTCTTGTCCTTCCGTGGAGTCAATTCCTTGATTGAATTCCTTGAGTCGACAACCGATTCCCAACGTTTTGGAATCGAAGAATCGATTCTCTTTGTCTCCCAGTCCCGACCTGTTTACAGGTGAAGGCGTAAAAAACAAGAAGATGGACTAAACTAAAACTTCCACAATGTAGGCTACCGCAAACGCTAAAGATGAAGGTAAATTAAAATGAACATCTCAATAGTACAATAGCTCAAAATCTTTTGTAAGCTAAATTGTGTCAGTGCCATTTCAGACTTGATAACACATTATTAAACCCATACACAGAATGTTACGACCAAATAATTTATGGGAGGAGGGAAATGTCATGGCTCATTAGGAATATTTTTCTAAAGAATAACATGGACATTTTACAGTTTATTGTTTAGGTTTTTATGTTCAGTCATTATTAGTGTTGGTCTTTGGCCGTCGTTGTGTTGAAATATTGAAATGTGTTTGGTTTGCCTGTGATGACGCTGCAATCCTAACTGTATAGTGTAGGTGGCAGTGATGAGTCATGCTGAGAGAAAGCCAGTAAAAGAACCATAGAATTAAAAGCTAATCTTCAAGTTCTCCTTATCATCAATGGGCCATTGAGTTATTGCAAACATGTATTTCATATTATGAAAGAAACAGCATGACTGCATCATTAATAAATTGTAAGTCGTTTGCCAGTTGCGAACAATAGCGCAACAGCATGAACTTCTGTGTGAATTTGCATGATAAATACTGACAGCCACAAAGATTCAGTACATAGCTATTCACCAGAATTATATACTGGATGATGCATTCATAAAGAGCTCTCACTCTCATCTTCAGCAACACAAATGCACAATTCACTTTTGAGCACAATAATTCATGAGATAAAAAACTAGCAGTTTTTGTTGATGAAAAGCCTATTTGAGTATTAATAAACTTTAAACCAATAAAGATTATACACAGGGTTTAAAACAAGCTTGATACATATCATTCAACTTAGTTATAAGACAGATGATTTAAAACTGACAGTGAAAAGCTGCTTGATGATTGATGAACTGTGCACTGTGGAAATGGGAAACAAATGAGAAACTTTTTTTTTTTTTTGCTCCAGAATAGTTTACAATGAAAAAATCTAGCATGCTGATGGGATGATTTTTGTGCAGCTAGAAGATAACCACCAGAATATGATAATGGAAAAACGTAACATATGTAACTTTTTACTCAAGCTGCAGTGATTTGGTTGGTTAAGCGTAGTCAGGTATGAGATATGCAAAATACAGGTGTGTTTGTGATGTATATAGGCTACTTAACAGCTGCCAATTGGACATTAGACACATAAATATAAATGTTAAAATACCTTTTATAGGTTTAGTATTGATGAATTGAATTATAGAATTTATAGTTTAATTGAAGTATACATTATGTTCTTTAGGAGGTGAAGCTGTCCCCCCCCCCCCCCCCCCCCCTACTTTCA